GCAAGGGAAATGTCGAAATTTGAGTACCCCATACTATCGCGTGCGGACATTATTATAATCCTGAAGCAGTCACAGATCGCCGAGGTGAAAGAGGGCGATCTCAAGAACCCTAACCCGGACTTCGTTGCTGATCTTTACACCCGCCTCCTCATCCACCTCGATGCTCTCCACGAGTATGCTTCTCTCATTCTTTCCCTTTTTGATTCTTCGAATTTCTGCTATATCCCTACATTCTGAGGTGAAAAAGAACGGTAGATTTGTTTCTATTTTGCAGATTTTGTATAAATTATGGGATTCTGTTTTGTTCTGGTTTTTGCGTTAGTTATACTCTTTGTTTAATTGGTTACACCCCGATATTGTTTAATCCTAATTGTGTTTTGTTTTCAAGCAAAAAAACAAGGGAGGGAATCCATATTTTGGAAATGATGACAAGTTTTAATTTTGTGGCAAATAAAGCAAAAGCATTTGTACATGCAATCTTGTTAGCAGTGGTACTTTTATTACAATAATTGAATTTATGAAGCATTTTTTTTTGCTTTCTCTGTAGAGATGAGCAAGGGCAAGTTGAATTCTCTGCTCTGGAGCAGCTTGAGAACCCGGACCTTCATGTTGGCTCTGTTCAAGTTATGAATTTGTACAGCAGGATTAGGGATGTCGTGTCATCTCTTGATTGTCCAATGCAATTTAACCTTAAAGATTTGATAAAACCAGATGCAACTCGAACTGAATTTTTCATCAGTGCAATCGTCAATTTTTGCCTTCACAAGTAAGAGTTTCCAATTCAAATTATATTTCTTGGTTTTCAATGATTTGAGAAAGTTTAGCTTTAGGTTATGGTTTTTTCTCTTCTTTCTTCTATTATTCCTTTTGTTTTCATGCATTTGGTATTTTGATTATTTGTTTTCTTGTTTTTGTTGTAGAGACACAAAATTGAATCTTCTAAGACCTCTTGTAGAGGATCTAAACCAACTAGATGAGAAGCGAAAGGAGTGGGAAGCCAAGATTTGTCAGGTATGTGAAGAGAGACTTCTGATACTTAAAGGTCACCATTGATCATAAACATATTTTCTCCTTGCAGTTGAATGCAGAGATTGTGGGCTACAATGAAGCTAGGGCAAGGGAGTTACCCATTGTTCAAGAGGTGGATGCCAAAGTTAAAGAATTGCATCAGACCATTGCAGGCCTTAATAGTCGCCAGATGTCATTAAAAGCCTTTTACCGGAACTTGAGGGATAAGACAAAGGAAATGGAAGAAAAGGTTAGGATGTTAATAGTTTCAATCTTTCAGATGATTAAGAGTAAAAACACAGTGCCACTCTTTGTTTGTGGATTAACTACATGTGTGTGTTTTGACCTTAAAAATGACAATATTTGGCACCTTTAACATACTAAGAAAATTAGAAGTATATGGCTGGCAGCGGTATGATTTGATCTGCTTAAATGTGTGCCTCTGAGTTGGCTTGACTAAGGAGTTCTTATCACTATTTCTTCAGTCATCCTAAGTATCCCATATCTTCAAACCTAAGATCTATGTTGTTTGTAGTTGTAGTGAGG